TTTCTATGAAAAAAGCAGGAAGAGGCCCTCCCCCAGCAAACCTGGAGTAATAAATTATGGATGTTTTAATTTAAGTGCAATAAACAATGAAGAAAATAAAGCTTTTATTTTAATATAATTTTGGTAAAAGCTTTACATACATACGATGGTTTTAATATAATATTAACTATTTTAAAAATCAAATACGTCACAGTTTGGATGTTATGTTTAACTGAAAAGTACTGTAAGTATTTAGAAAATATTTTATTAAAAGTTTCGCTGTTACAATCTTTGATAGTTAATTTTTTATACCTTTGGAAGATGTTTGAGCACTTGCATCACCACTGGCTGAATAGAAGGCATTTTCACCAAAGGAAAGCTCTTCTCCAACAACTCCTCCAGTTTGGAATATCTGAAAACACACAAACAAAAAAATAGCTTTCCAGTGTCTCATCATTTGTAAAATCTGACCTCCATAGCCAACATTACCGGTCCTCCTCTTTTCCCTCTGCGATAATGGCCACTCGCTCCATAAGGTTTTCACGCAGCTCGTCAAACACAGACTGGTGAAACTCCAGCCGTGGTATCCCATGAAGGTCCAGAAATGGGAGAGCAGACTGCAGAGTGGGCAGCAGGATGCCATTTTCCATCTGTCAGGAAAGGAAAACAAACGTGAAACAGTGTAAATTAACACAGTGGGTCTAATCAAAAGTAGCTGCAGTAACAGACTGCAATTTGTAAATATGAAAAATTATTCAGTTAGTAGATAATTGCGATTTTTCTAGTTATAAAAATGATAATAAGAAAAATAATGAGAATCTTTGGAAGTAGAAATAAGTAATGTATTTTTTTAATGTTGGCTTTTTATGTCACCATATAAGTCAGAAAGTACGATCTGGACCGTGGGCAGTGTGAAGTGTTGAAATCATAGTGTGGAAGTTATGCGTAGTAAAAAGGAGCCGACAACTTCTCACATTTTAGACACAAAAAATCGTGTGTGGCTTTTTTAACTGCACTCACAATTCTCAAGAAACGGCTAATAACGGTAAACAGAACAGCGTGCCTCAAACGTCAACGGGTCTTAAAGGGACCGCGACTATACTGCATACAGAGCACAAACCCAAAAACTAAACACTGAACATAGGTAAACATGTAATTAATATATCTCCAGTTAGTGGTGAATTATGTATGTAATATGTATGCTAAACGCAATACAATAGTTAATTTTATTTATTTGGTTCCTTACTCCTCTGTTCTTCCAGGTATGTTACCACTAATGTGTGACAATGTCTTTTGATTTACTGTATTGAATGACGCTAATGCTAACACAAATTAGTTATTTAATCTAAAGTTATACAAATGGAATACCATAAAAAACATGTTAAGTATAAAAGTATTTATCAGTAAGTATTTATCAAGTGATCAAACCTGAAACTGGTCGATAGGTTTCAGTGGCTCCGTGCAGTTGGTGAGAGTTTCCTTTAAATCCTCTCCGTTGGAAATCCCGAGCTCCGGAAGCCCCGCAAACATGTTGCCCGATAATTATTCACCCAAATAACAACATATGCAACTGCGCCTTGTATGTGATCTCCAGTGTGAACGTTAAACGGCCCGAAAGTGTCCCGCATGCGCACTGGAGGACACGATGACGTCAACCGCAGCGAGCGTGATCTATGTTTACAGAATTTGTCCAAACATGGACGCGAGCATTGAGCACCTGGAGATTTTAAAGTTCCTCTCGTACAGGAGCCAGAACATGAACAACTTACATGTTTTAAGGAGGAGATTGAGAAGGAGAAGGACGAGGTTTTTGGCCATGGCGTTTTATTGGACACCGGCAGCGACGTCCGTTGAAAGGAACGTGTGGATGCAGAGATGTAGCAAAGAGTGGTGAGTGGCGATGTGCTTCGCTTCAGTGACACAGAGTTCATTAACAATTTTCGCCTACTTCAGCGCAGAATAGTGACGTCTGTGGCTTGTTGATAATGCGTGGATGAATGAGCTTTGGCCGTTCACACTGAAGTCGCATGTCAAAAGATTGGATATGTATCGTTTTCAGGACCACATCCGAGGCTGCGTTCAGACTGCAGACTGAAGTGACCCAAATCCGATTTTTTGGCTTCTATGTGACCTGTATCTGATCTTTTAATGACAGTCTGACACAGATCCGATTTTTTCAAATGCGACCCAGGACACTTGATATGCAGTGTTGTGCATGAACGAGTTCAAAAGAACGCGTTCATTGAACACGTTCATTTTTCAGTGAACTCTGAACTGAACGCAACACTTTTGTAAATCAAGAACTTGAACGTGAATTTGTTCAAATTATGTGTGATGAACGACGTACGTCACTGTTGGGGTTCAGTTAAACGTCGGAATTTGACGAGTGACGATCTGCTCGCACTTCACCTCGCGAAACCACAGCCGCGTGTCAACGCGAAGGCGACTCCACCGGCAGCTTTAGCGGAACGTACGGGCTCTTGTGTCTCTCAATGGGAAAGTCAATCAAACTTGAATGGGCGCGTTTAGCTGCTTGTATTTACCTTCTGTACAGGCTGACCACGGCAAACGCAAGGATTTTCAAAAGTTAATTTCAAAGCACTAATTAACAGTCTATGTGGATCTGGGCTCTTTCACATGATACACAACTGCCCAGGGAGCACAATGTGCTGATGGTAAATGCACAAATACAACAATAGATACATGCGCTCTGTGTATTTTGACGGGGATATGCGCCTAAACTCGTGTAGAGCGTCAAAAAATAGGATGTATCCTATTTTCTGAAATCTACACGCACAGGACGTGCTGCTCCGCGCGCTTATTATTTTACTTGGTACATATGTCAGTAACGCGCGTCACAATGCTTTTTTAACCTGGATTGAAATGGTGGGTTTTTCGTTTTTCTTCATACAAATTTGCTAAAATCACCGCGATATCAGCAGCGGTGAAACGCCGGAGGTGCGCCCGCGTAGACCGTGATCCTGAGCGAAAGGACCGACGCAGAAGTCCGCGCTCCACTGAGCTAAACGCAGCTTATGCCCGATCGCACTCGGGGTTCTCTCAGGGGCGGTCCTAGATTCCAAGTTCTAGTCCAGGATTAGTCCTGGTTTGGTCCTGGTTTAGTCTTGGTTTAGTTCTGGTTTAGTCCTGGTTCAGTTCTGGTTCAGTAATGGTTTAGACCTGGTTTAGTCTTGGTTTATTCCTGGTTTAGACCTGGTTTAGTCCTGGTTCAGTTCTGGTTTAGACCTGGTTCAGTCCTGGTTTAGACCTGGTTCAATTTTGGTTCAGTCCTGGTTTAGTCTTGGTTTATTCCTGGTTCAATTCTTTTTTAGTCCTGGTTCAGTCCTGATTTAGACCTGGTTTAGTCTAAAATAAATGCAGCCTTTCATTTACAGATCTCACCTAAATATAAAATGAACTGAACTTTGAACTAGTTAAAAATTAAAATTGTGAACTATGAACGTGAACTATTCATTTTGAACAAGTGTGAACTGAACTTTGAACTAGTTCATGAAAAGTTTGAACTTGCACAACACTGTTGATATGTGGTCCTGAAACTGATACATATCCGATCTTTTGACATGCGACTTCAGTCTGAATGGCCAAAGCGCATTCATCCCACCTACACGTTATCAACAAGCTACAAACGTCACTATTCTGCGCTGAAGTCGGCGAAAATTGTTAATGAACTCCGTGTCACTGAAGCGAAGCACATCACCACTCACCACTCTTGGCTACGTCTCCACATCCACACGTTCCTTTCAATGGACGTCGCTGCTGCTGTCCAACAAAACGCCACGGCCAAAAACCTCGTCCTTCTCCTTCTCAATCTCCTCCTTAAAACAAGTAAGTTGTTCATGTTCTGGCTCCAGTACGAGAAGAACTTTAAAATCGCCAGGTGCTCAATGCTCGCGTCCATGTTTGGACAACTTCCGTAAACACAGAGCACGCTCGCGGTGGATGACGTCATCGTGTCCTCCAGTGCGCATGCGGGACACTTTGGGGCTGTTTAACGTTCACACAGGGGATCGCATACAAGTCACATTTAATTGGAAATGTGAACGTCTTCACAAAAACATCGGATTTCACAAAAAAATCGGATTTGAGCGTTAAGTCCTGCAGTCTGAATGTAGCCCAAGTGGCCTGGGTCGAATTTGAAAAAATGGGATCTGTGCTGTTCAGACTGTCATTAAAAGATCAGATACAGGTCACATAGAAGCCAAAAAATCGGATTTGGGTCACTTCAGTCTGCAGTCTGAACGCAGCCTTATTCCGTGGTGAATTGCAAGTTAAATTGGTTGTGAATAGTCAGTTTTGTATCTTTCCTGTCAATGGAAACCATGAACATCCCGCGTTACAACTTTGTAAACAGTCCCCGAAAAACAATTACAAGCTGGATAGTTCCGCTTATGTGATGAAGGTAGGGTTTTGCTGCCCTCTAAAGCAGTACCTTGAAATACATCAATTCTTTCAGTAAGCTGGGTACGGCAGTGTTATAATATTGTTAAATGTTAAACCTAACGTTTAACATTTAACAATATTATAACATTCTGTGGTTAATTCACTATGTAAATGACCAGGTTTAACATTAGTGAATTTGCGTAGTAAATATTTCTTATGAAAATACCATGTAATTATTAGGGAAAACTGTCTCTCGTCCCCCATCTAGGAGTATGATATCATACTTCAGTACTGCATATACTGTACTGTATACTGTACTCAATTGTATTCAATTTAGAGTGTAACCACTAGGGGGCACTGCTTCACAATAATTAATTTGGATCAAGACTTAGGTTTTCCCTCCTATCAAAATCAAGTCTATAAAAGCGAACACAACACAATCAATAGTTTACACATTTAACCATACTTTACAGAACTACATGGTACTGTAATTACTGACAAAATGAAGGAGCTGGCTGCCAACAAAAGAAAAATGGTAGTTTCATTAAGAGAAAATCATTAAAAAAAAAAAGATTTATTAAGAGGTAAAAAGTACACCAACACAATCAATAATTTTATATTCTCATTTCTGAAGTTAATTATTCAATATTGCAAAGAGGTTCATTTGACAATTGTGATGATAACAGGCCAGCTTCTAGCATAAAAGTTCCACAATTTTTTTGTATACAAATGTCCCATTTAAAGAGGTGTCCAGTTGCACAAAGGTATAATTTTTTACACCACGCCCATCTTAGGACTGTTTTTTCTACAGAACAGCCAACCTAACTGAACCAGAGTCATAAGGAGCAGAGCAGCGAAGAGGATCACGAGTCCTGACCAGGGTCCAGGGGGTATGGCCTTCAACACACTGAGTCTCTCCTGTGGCAACTGACTGGTAAGGCTGAGCATATAGCCCAGAGACCAGCCCACAGATGCCCCTCCGGCCTGCAAAATAAAACAGGTTTCCTCAAATCTGTACCTTTCCATTAATTAATAATTTCATGAGACTGGTATACTGCTGAGGGACGTATTCACACAGCATCATTTAACGATAGGGTGTTAGACTTCTATGAGGTATATTTGTATTACTTTATTTCTATTTACTTGTACATATACATTTAAATAATTATGCCTTATTTGACACCAGTCCCTTGCCATTTTTGCAACTTGAGAATTGTTATTATATTATATTATATTGTGATGTTCTGAGTCCCCCTCTCCTTGCTGTGTGCACTAGTACTTTCAAAATGCCATCTCAAAATAAAACTACTACATATTGCATCAGGTTTGTTAAATTGATTGCTCAAACATGCATGGATTACATATAAAACCACTGCAGACATGTTTTTCATGAGTGTTTGATGAATCTTAAAATCGTATAGCTCCAAAAAATCAGTTATGCATAAAACCCCCTCTTTAACAAAAATGATAAAAAAATAAAATGTGTTTTATTTTTATATGATTGAATTTACAACTAAGTTTTGTCAATAATCTTAGCAGTGTGCATTTTACTGTGTGTACCTCTCTTACCTTCTTCTCAAAGGCAATCATGGGAAGCGTAGAGTTGTTGAAACCGTAGCCCTCTGTTAGAAGAACTTGCATGTAATTGGACACAGCACAGACATTCTTCATATATTTTTCGGGCTGCTTAGTGATCGCCATCATCTGTGAGAATACAAAATCATGTGTACAGAATTCAATAAATGTAGTCTCCAGGCCAAGTTACCCAAGTTACAGGTCAGATCTGTGCAAAGATGACCTTACACACAGAAAGAATGCATGTTTATCAATGTATTTTTGAGCAATAAAAACCCTGTAACTGAATAAATGCCAGATAGATAAAAAAATAATGCCATACTGGTGAACATTTTTGGCAAAACAGTAACGTTTATGCATACACATACATAAATACCTCTGACTGTACGTACTTTAAGATAAGATTTGAATGACTACTACAAGACAAAATACAATACATTCACTTTCTATCCATTTTTACATCCTCTTTTTACACATTACACAGTTAGTTTTGGTGTAGTACTTCTTCCTAAAGTTTCATTGTGTTAATTTCAGAGAAACGTTGTCTACAGTAAGTGTCTTTCTCAAGAAACACAAAACACAGGCTTTTAATCTTTCACTTCCACATTGATTTATGAAGAATTTAGATAAGAACAGTGCATCTATTGTTCTACTTTACCAGCATATCCTCTTGGTATTGGAAAGAGAACATGGAAGTCTCACCAAATGGACCCATTTACTCAAAAATTTGATCTATGGCTTATAAACTAATTTCTTTTACCTGCTTGATGTTCATGTTACAGACAAGCTGGCTTGCCTCCTTCATACGCCGTGGGTCTGAGATGTTGGTGAGTGCGGTGACGTAGCTATTGAAAAAGTAAAAGGCGGAGAAAGCCTGTAGAGGACATAAGACCATTACATATGAACATTTTAGTCAGTCGGACTTGGTTTATTAAGGGTAAAAGGGTCAACATTTAGTATTGTGTCTACATTAGTCTGGATAAGTCCTGATTTAGTCCGGTTTCTAGATTCGTCTGGGTTCTGTCCACAATTGACAGCAACAATACTGCTATTTGAACTATGGAGACCTCTATCATACTGTGAGAATTTACCACTATACAACATAACAAGTTACCAGTAGTGGAAGTACTAATACCGGATAAAAAAAAATACTAATAAGTAAATGTGAAAGATTCACATGAAAAAAATCTTAGGTAAAAGTACCCGTATTTTGTGCAGATTTTGAGGTCTAATAAAACGTCAAATGTAGTGATTTTGACATTTGTGCTGAATTTTGTTTAACAGAAACAACTGAATCAATATTTTTTCATTTTTTATTTGTATTTGTTTGATTGCTCAAACTATGAACATGCTAATAAGCCCAGCCTTTTCAGAAAGTCTCAGCTATATTAAAAAATACTTTAATTTTTCAATCTCATTCAAAAATGTAGTGGAGTAGAAAGTACAGACACCTGCTCTCAAATGTAATGAAGTAAAACTAAAAAGTATCCACTCGTAAGTACAGATACCTAAATTTTTTACTTAACAGAACTTTACTACTTTTACTTTGTTACGTCCCATCAATGCAGGGTACAGATTGCTTACCATGAATTTCCCAGATGTGGCAGGCTGGTAGACTCCATCAAAGCTGCACCTGGAGAAGTTGCATTTGTCAAAAGAAAACAGCTTCTGGACAGAGGATAGACACTGCTGATGGTTGCCTGTGCCTTGCAGTGTAACATCGCTTTTCAGATCTACGGTTTGGAGTTTGTATTTCTTGGTGCAAGGAGAGCTGAAGACATCTGCCTCCAGGTTTACAGATGTGCTGTAGTCTTTGGGATAGCAGGGGTTGAACACTGTGCCATTACTTACACCTTGAGTCTGGAAAAAAAAGACTGCAAAATTAATCACAATCAAAACTAAATCTTGAATTATTGTTTCACTCTTCTCACAAATGCTCCGGGATATATTTAAAGGTGTACTATTTAAGTTTTCTGGTAGAAGGTCTACAGCCTGCTTGTCTCCATGGAGATGTTGTTGCTTTGGCTGGCATGCTCTACAGCAAGGGTGTCAAACTCATTTTGGTCTGGGGGCCGTATCCAACCTACTTTGATCCCAAAGGGGCCGGATCAGAAAACTCATGACATATAAACCCCAAAAATAACAATAAGTTCAAATATTTGTGCAGAGAAATGCAAATCTATTACAGAAGTCTTTTTTAATTGATGAACTCTTTCTTTTACAAAATATTATAATATTATGAACAACCTGAAACTTTAAGAAAAATGCAATTTCAACACGATGTTTTAACATGAACTTGTTTTTCAAATAGGAATAAGTAAATTTTTCTTGTAAAATCCTGCACTCGTCATCCACTTTTCTCATTTTGGCCATTTTGCTGATGAGGGTGAGGGTGTCAACAGTCAAAACGATCGTCCTTTAAGAGCATTTGGAAAGAGACAAGTCTTCATTTGTGCTGCTCTGGTGGGAGGGGCCACGTACAGAGACACTGGAGATGCTGCTATGATAAGCACCACAGAAAATTACCAATATTTTAATAGAAAATATAATTACAATATTTTAGTAGAAAATCAGCCGAGGGCCAGATTGAAGGTCTTGGAGGGCCGGATCTGGCCCCAGGGCCGTATGTTTGACACCCGTGCTCTACAGTATGGCATTTAAGTTAGGCGGTGGAGAGGCGGAGAGGAGAGGCGGGCGCTACTAACAGTAAGAAGGCAAGTTTCTTGAGCTGTTCTAAGCAATAAAACCACATGTAATTGAAAAAAACCTAAAACAAAAGCAATAACATTTCTATGAAAACAAGCTGATGATGGACCCTTCAGCAGAAAAGTTACATGGTGCACCTTGAAAAAGAAACAAAGTGAACAGAATATATATATATATATATATATATATATATATATATATATATATATATATATATATATATATATATATATATATATATATATATATGTGTGTGTGTGTGTGTGTGTGTGTATATATATATATATATATATATATATATATATATTTTTTTTTTTTTTACATCAAATCACACGTCTAATATCACCACTTCAGAAAATAGGTGAAAGACAAAGGGAATACTAAGTGTCATTTACATGAAAAAGCAGACATTAGGTAAGGTGTGATAATGTTTTCACAGTTGCAACAAAAAGTCAGGACACAAGAACAGTTTCATGCTCTTTGCTGTTGCACTCTGTAACAGCTGTCACTTTAAAACATTAGTTACTGTCACTTTAAATAACTGTAATTAACCTACTTGCTCTGATATCTTTCTGCCCATACTGTTAATTTTATATATGTGAATCAAAGTATATTTTTACCTTATTTTAATGCTTTCCCTTATTTCTACTTTATCGTAGTTTATATTATTATTCTGGAACAAGTTGTAGTTTATAGTAGAAGTTGTTTGTGAAGATCTGATTTTATCTAAGAAGCTGTCTTTATTCACCTTTTTTGTTCTGCTATTTATTGTATAGTGTGTATCAAAGAAGTAGTTAGTAAAGTTTTTTAACTAACAATGGCAATAAAACTGATTCTGAATGATGGAAGATGAGAAAATAATTTTCAAAAAAGATTACTGTGACGTACGGTGATGAGGAGAGCCAGCAGTCTGCGCAGGAACTGGTCTTGTCCGTAGCAGAGGAAGCTGTGAGTGTACAGCTGGTACTCTTGTCCGTAGAGCTTTAGTTTCTTGGAGTTGTCAGGGTTCTCTAACTGTATCTCTGTTTGAAATGTTATCTGAGTCGAGGCTCCACCCAAATCCAAAGCACCGATCGTGTCTTTACCAGGATTCAACCAATGCCCCACAAAACCATACTGAAAAGCAGAAGATTAGATTTAATGAAGATTGACTTGGCAGAAGACAACAATAGTATCACTGGTATTGGTATATGGTTTAGCAAATAGCATGACATTGTTGGGTCTTTGGCGGTGATGGATGAAGCACTCAATTTTATTACTTAAGTAAAAGTACAGATATGGTAGTGGTTGGAATTTGCCCGGGATCCGGAAGACACACTTTTCCAATACTTTACAAAGATGTGAGATTGAAATGACTGACAAGGTGAAGTAGTCAAAAGACATGCACGGTCAGTTCTTATCAAAACAAAAATGGCTAGTTAGGGAAAAAAAATTAAGAAAAAATACATAAATAATAAATATCAAAGCGGACTAAAAAACAGTGAATATCTTTGCAGAATCAGTGAGCAAAGCAAACTGTAAAATAAAATTATGTTCTAAAATGAAAGACGATCAACGAGCTCCTTTATTTCTCACACTGAAATAAACCAATCTGACTGCATGGGTGTGTTTGAGCCTGGCTAGAGGCGCAGCAGAGGGAGGTGTGATTAGACTAATATCCCTCTGTAGTAAACATTCACAGGGATATTATTCTGGATTAGCCAGGCAAGGAGGGAGGAGATACTGATGCAGAATGACAACATCATGTCCATCAGTCAGTCCCATGTATTGTACCACCACACAGTGTAGCTCGTTTCTACAGAACTATCATTGCTCTGCCTGGAATGTTCCACAGTATGACATTAAACAGGTCTACCTTACATTTTTTTAAATTGCAGGTGGTTTTATAGCTCAAAAATACCTAGAAAGCTAGACCTGTAACTTGGTCTGTCTCTTTGTCTCTTGGTTTGATCTCCATGAAGATAGAAAGGTTTAAAACCATACTGGGAGACATTCCAGACAAAGCAATAACATCTTGATGGACCCTCCACCAGAAAGGTTGCACAATGCACCTTTAAAGATGACTCAGTTATTATCAAATAACTAACACAAAATTCCATTACTCATAGTGCAAGTTGTTTGTGTCTCCATTTTTGTTTTGTATTCAGTACGCCTCTACAACTACGACTACAAAAAAAGATGTGACGTTATAATTAACAACACTCGGCCCTTATATATGTCAGTATATTTTTTTCTGTTGCTGTTGTAATACTAAAAGAGGAAGGATTTCAGTGAGGTTTACTTATTGTGAAAGTGGTCAAAATGTTATGAGTAAGCAGTTTCCATAGACAATATAAGAGCATGGCATCATGTATCTACCTTTGCAGAGCCTGTATGGTAAGACAAGGCAAATGAAAGAGTTACTATATAATACATTTCAAAAATCTCTTTTTTTATTTGTTACATTCATGTAAGATGAATATAAAATAATTATGTTTGAATGTGAATGATAAGGAGCAGAAAGAAGTATAGACTTGTAATATCTGCTCCCTTCCCACATCACACAAAAAAACTTATTTAAGTGACATGCACAATATTAAATACTTATTAATGAACACAAAAGGACAGTTACTCTACAATCTCATACTTTTTTTTAGCATATCATATTTAACATTTCTTTTAAACACCTTTTTAATTTAGACTGTTTCAAACCTACTGAAAATTAAAATTCTGAATACATTTTCAGCAGGCTACAATTTAGTTACTTCCAGACACTGAAGACTAAGTGCAATATAAGGCCTGGATATTAGGAATTTCAGAAAACCTGTTCTAGACATTTGGTCAGTAGACTGATTGTACCTTTGCAAAGTTCTCTAGTAGGTAGTTGACAGTGACCCAGCCAAAAGCCCCCTCGTCCTGCCCGCTCAGAATAGTGGATCCTTTAAAGTTGAATGGGTACGACTTCAATTTGGTGCCCACCTCTTTTAAAACACGGTGGGACTCGGAGGCATTTTTTTCCCTGTAGATAATAAAATATAGACATTAACCACAAGACATTTTGGGCTGATGTGTAAACAAAAGTCCCTGGACCGCATTAGTTTAGGTGCACAAAATTATGATAGGGTTTTGGAGGACCCTGCAGTTTTTATGACAAGGTTATGCCACTGGCTTGTCTTTGTGCAAATGCTATTGCTTTGCCTGAAATGCTCTACAGAATGGCATTTGACTAATTTCTCTTTCATTTATTCACAGGGTTATGTGCATAAAGTGTGGTCACCTCACCACTGATCTGACATGTAACATCAAGGACATAATTTATACAGTAGATAACCTTGTAACTAGGAACTGTGCAGAACCTTCAAGCTCTTTGGGCTCTGGTAGAGGACCCCAGAGGATGAGGAAGAGTTTTGTATATTTTGTTTAGTGTGTGTACATCTCCAAAGCTCAAAATGCTCTGTTCCACCTTGTGATGTCATGTAGCTTTAGTTAACAGCTACCTTTTACCTTTAATTCAGTAGAGATTGTCAACTGCAGGGCTAAAATTATCCAAATGATTCTAGTGAAGGTGTATGAACTTTAAAGTACTTCCGTAAGAACTGTAAGAGCCTAAATATAGTTTATTACTAAGGACCAGAAAAAGCATACCAGTAATATGTCTTCTTTAACTTTTTTGTATTTACTGAACTACAGAGTGCAAGTTATTCCTTTAGGGGACCAATAATGTTCACAAGTTTACTACTACCTTTCTTATGCACAGCATCAGTGAACCTCTTCTTTTGTTAGCACATGTTTAGAATGATTAAGTACTCACTCCAGCAGCCTCATGCCCGCCGTGGCCCCCAGGTACAGAGGGGTTTTACTGTGTCTGTTCTTGGGGATGTTCCGCACAGCCTGTTGGAGACACTCCTCCAGACTTTTAGCTGCTCCACCAGGAACACCTGCATAACCTGAGATCCCTTTACCTACACAGCACACACAAACAGGGGGAAATTAAGTTTAACTCAGCAGTTTATGTTAAGATAAGCACTATGAGACTTTATTTAGGCTGTTAGTTAAAGGTGCATTGTGTAACTTTTCTGGTAGAGGGTCTGCTATCTGACTTGTATGACTTTTAACATATTCATCTAGCATTTCTTCATTAGGAAAGTTTCTATTACTAAAAAATACAATCATTCCTTCTATGAATAGAGGAAACTATCCACAGATCTAAAGTCTACATCTAAGAATTGTAATGTAGCATATTGCTGTAACCAGCTTGTCTCCCTTGTGATATTTTTGGTTTAATAATACTGTGGAAAATTCTAAACAAAGCAATAATATTTCCATGGAGACAAACAGGTAGAAATATTACACAGTGCACCTTTAAGAAAATGACAGATCATGCTTGCATAGTGTGTAGTTGTGAACAGAAGCAATGCAAATATTAATAGTAACAGTAGAAGTAATAGCAATATTTGTAGCAGTGGTAAAACATTTCCCAGAAAGAAATAATTTAAAAATGCTTTTTTCCCTAATAACTGTTGATAATCTATAACATACATCGTTCATTATTTTGCATAGGGGGTAGGTGAAAATGTAGTCTTGAATGCAGGTCTATGCAGGCTTACTCAAACATGCATAAATAAAAGAAAGTACAACTCTGAGTAAGCCAGTGATGCAGAAACAACAATATAGCATGGTTACATCATTCATTATCAACTAATGTTTATGACTTAAAAGGTGCACAGTGTAACTTTCCGGGTGGCGTGTCCTATTAAATTGAACTATTATATTGAACTACTCCATGGAGACAAGCAACAAGCCAATCTACAGGTCCGATCTGTGGAGAAGTGGGCCTGCTTACAGTAGAATGCATATTTTCCATGGTATCATTTTACTGTAAAAAACAAAACAAAAACAAAACAAAAAAAACCTATAATTAAATAATAAGCAAGTTTAATGTCATACTGTGGTACATTCCAGCAAAAGCAATCTCTCTAGCATATCTCCATGGACACAACCAGGTGCTGGACTCTTACCAGAAAAGTTACTTGGTGCAGCTTTTTTTAAATTATTATTATTATTATTATTTTAAAGAAACTGTGTATGTGGTTTAATAGCATTATCTATTGTTCCTTGTAATTTTTGACATCTTTTGTGCAAACTAAAAATTATCTAAAAAAAAAAACTAAACTAAAATTTATCAGATGCCGAAATGTGGCTGTGGGCCGAGTTTCAGTGTTAAGTATTACTTCAAAGGTGCATGGTGTAACTTTTCTGGTTGAGGGTCTGTCACCTGCTTGTTTCTATGGATATGTCATTGCTCTGCCTGGGATGTTCCGCAGTATGGCATTAAACAGCTCTACCTTACATTTATTCAATTACAGGTGGGTTTATAGCTCAGAAATACCTAGAAAAACAGGTATTCTGACTGAGCAGGATTGCCTCCCCACAGGTCTAGCCTATAACTCCATAAAAATAGAAAGGTTTAATACCATATTGTCAAACATTCCAGACAACGTAATAACATTTCCATGGAGAAAAGCATGTGATGGACCCGCCACCAGAAAAGTTACAAAATGCACCTTTATATCAATTAGTTTACCTTTTCAAATAGTCTGACCTACAGATAACCTTAAACTGCTCTATGACTCATTCAAGGTTATTTAAAAAAAAAAAAAAAAAATCTAAGGAAATCCAAACAACAAACTGAAACAAGAAGAGGAATTAGTGCTCCTGACTAAGATGGCACGGAAGAAGAAGCAAGGAACTAAACTCTGAGGTCTTGCAAAATTCAACACAAATTCTGCACTTGACCTTGTCCTGGCACAGTCACACAGAGGAAGTGAAAGGCACAATGTTCTTGACTTTGAAAGTGGGGTTAAACGGTAAAGAAAATAGTTAATTTTGAGCAAACCATATTATGTGTTCATGCAAAATTTGTTACATTTTGAAGTTTAAAATTTGTCATATTTTGGATTCCTGTCACATTTTTTCACAACTACTAAGGCAGGATCTGTGAATATGGGCAAAGAGTCTTGCTCAGGGACAAAGTCAGCTTAAAAAGGTCAGCCCTCCCATTTTCAAGTTCTGTTCTCATTTTCAACTGTTCTACCATCGGCACACTGATATGCTGATATCCACAAATGGAATATATATATGTATATAAGATGCATATGTATAAATAAAGGCCTTTTATTAATCCAAAAATGATCATGTTGTCTTCGTATGTACATTAACTTCTTGGATTCTTTTCATACTCTTCAGTTATTGTGTCTTTAAAAAGAACCCAAGAAGTTAAGGCCGTTTAATTGTTATAATGTAATGAGTGCCACAGGAGTATTTTGACTGCATTTTGCACTAGTACATGCACGTTTTAAAGTTTAAAGTATTTTCTACGATTTCAAAATGTAAGTACTTTGATTTTAAATTCCATAAATGTGATCTCTTAGTATTAATTACACAAATATTGAATGTAATTGCCATGTTATGATATAATAATCAAAAAACAGAATGAACCTCATATGAGTCCTTGGGTTGCCAATTTCAGTGGTGAAATCCAGTTGGTTTAAATCTAAAATGACTCTCTCTGATCTAAATCCTCCTTACTTCTAGCCAGTCACTAATCAGAGCTAGAGCATCCTATGCATTTTTAAAAACTGTAAATGAACAGACCAAGTGCAGGTCCTTTAAGTTGAAAATACGCATAGCTCAGAAATATAATGTGTCATCATCTATTTATTCTTTTCCAGATAAATGCACAGAGAGGTCAAGAGAGTACAGGTCAAGTCAAGACTTCACATAGGACTCATTAACAGCCAACAATGCAACGGCTCGCTATGCCAGCCTAAGACGTGTTACAAAAAATCCAAGGTGTGGAAACTGAATTTTCTTAGCACTAAAACCACAGGAACAAACAGTCTATAATAGCTGTCAGACGTTTTACCTTTGACATTGCACTCGTCATGCTGGGTGACAATGCCTGTTCCATTCTGTTTATCGGCGGGCCATTTGTAGATGTACATGGACGTGTGGGAGGAGCCAGCATCCAGGACAATTCCATACTGGGAAAGAGGGAGACATGGTATACACATATATTACAAAAACTGTTCATTCTTTTGTTCAATACAGTACACTTGAATGCACCTCAATACCATACAAGGAAAGCACTGTGTTCTAAAACGCACTGTGTAACTTTTATATAAAGTTGAGGGTCCACCACACCTGCTTGTCTCCATGGAGATCTTACTGCTTAGCCTGGAATATCCCATTATGTGGCATTAAATGTATCTAAGTACATGCAGACAAGGAGCAGGTGGCAACTCAAGGTTAAGTTACAGGTCTAATCTGTGGAAAGGATTTTATTTAGCTTTAACAACTCTGATTGAATAGATGCAATTATGATTATGGTAACTTTAATGCCATAGTGTGGAACATTCCAGGCAAATCAAGCAGGTGGCATACTCTCCACATACATATTGCAACTTTAAAACACAACTGCATGTAAAAATGGGGATAGGGTGCATTCTCATGACAAAGTATAGAGCAATATGAAGATGAAAATGAAACTGTGATCTGACCCTAGTGACATTTTGATATTTTGGTGATAGGGCAACTCAGTGCTTCTCTAAGTATGTTTCTAAGCTTCCCTACCTTTTCTCTCTCTCTTTAATTTTATGATGATTATTTATGTTTTAATTTGTTTGTGTTGTGATTTTAATGTATTTCTTATTCTGTAAAACACTAAACTTGCCTTGCCTTGCCTACTCCTCCCATTGGTCAGTTTCTATCATGATGTGAGTGAGTGACAGCTGAATTAGACCAATCAAAGTGTGTGGACTTTCACACCCAGCAGATGGCTTAAAGTGCATATGACTGGTTTTGGTCATTCTCTAATTTTGACATAATTTGGTAGGATAATATGTGTTATAATTATTAATTAAAGTTTTAGACTGATTAAGAAAGAAGAAGAAATTTGTGAAGAAAAGTTGAAAAATATGTTACAAATTACAGGAAGCAGGAAGTACTGTTTTAGGGAGTTACACATCATGATAGGAAGAGTTCAATCCCAAAATTATATTTACACACTAGAAACATGTTTTTCGGTTACTTTAAACATAATTTCAACAAAATAAAGGCATTTTATTATGTTTTATTTGGCAAATATGAATTTCAGTGTACATTTAAGGAATTTTGGCATAGTGTACAATATGGTTGCTAGATAACAGCTATGGAACGCCCTAATGTGATGCCACAATTTCCAACCAAGAAGTTAGATTTGAAACCTGAAAAAATTGTGAAAAATGTACACAATTTTTAGTTAAAATTTGTTTTAATCTTACGTGCGTTTTAGTAAAATGAGTAGTTCAAACTGTCATAGGCACTTTAAATACCTCTTAAGGCAATATACAGAGTGATATACAGGAATTGTGACAGCCAATCACAGTCTGCTACCTCTGCCTCTCAACCAATCACCTCTCATGGCATTCAAACACATTCAGTTTTTCCCCTTCCTCACAATAGGCAGTGAAAAGGTGTATTAACTTGCATCGATCAAAAGCCTAACAGTATCTCTCCCATTCATTTCTATTACAATATGGTACAGTGTTTTTATATTGTTGCACTTCAAAGCGGTCCACAAACTATATAATACGCCTTTATCATCTAAGAGAGTTAACAATGAGAAGCAAACATGAATGATGAACTCTTTCTTTCAAAGTTTTTGTGTAATGTTTTGAGTATTTTAACCAGGAATGTGTCAGATGTAACCACTTTTAGTACATATACTCCTTCTACTTGTTGGACAGCTACATAATGCAAATAATGCACTTCTGTCACCTATGTTCTTTTACTCATGTCTAAAACTTTGTACCAACTTGTCTAGCTATGTTCAGATCTATGTGACAGTTGGAGGAGCATAAATAAATAAAAAATGTCTGTAGGGCAACATAACTGAACAGACGGAAACGATAAAAACATATTTTGCCCCAGAAGGTGTAATAGACAGTAATAAAACTGAAAACTGAAAAATGTGCTGTTTTCACTTGGCCTGTGGTGGGTTATTTGTCCAAATAAACAAAATCTCAGAACAAATGCACATGTTAATGAACTTTCCAAGACAAGTAAGTGCATTTAAAAGGTGCATTGTGTAACTCGCTTTTCTGGTGAAGTGTCTGTCACCTGCTTGTTTCTATGGATATGTCATTGCTCTGCCAGGAATGTTCCACCGTGTGACATTAAATAGGTTTACCTTACAGCTCAAAAATACCTAGAAAAACTGGCACTCTGACTGTGAGCGCTGTGAGACTGCCTCTCCATAGATCTGACCTGTAACTTGGTCCAGTTTGGGCTCCATGAAGATAGAAAAGTTTAATAATTATGCTGTGAATTTAACATTCCAGACAAAGCAATATCATGTCCATGGAGGAAAGTATTTGAAGGGCCCTCCACCAGAAAAGTTACACAGTGCACCTTTAAATTAAAATAGGGTACTGCTGTGACATTTGAGCTGCCATATACCTTTCAGCAATAAATATTGGGTCAAGTGTTTTAGTAATAGGCTAGGGTCATTGTATAGTGCAGCCTGAAATGAAGCTTTGAATTAAAAACACAAAATTGCCACTTTTTTGATGTGGGTGTTTTTGATATTCCTTTTACTTCATTGTTTGAGTCCTGCTTACTGTTTCAATTCAAATAGTTGTTAGTATCTTAAACCTACCTGACACTGTAATCTAGACTATTTTGCTTGCTTTGGTTATTTTGCAGCATTTATTATTCACCGATTTTTACGCCTTTGTTTCCAATCACCTCACACCGATATATCTATCCGTTTAAACGAAAATTCTCACCATACCTCAAATTCTGGCGGTTTCTGCAGCTCTCTCGTCGGTATGACCAAGAGAAGAATACCAATCAGCGCCAACAAGAGGAGCGCCAAGGCGGGAACGACCTGTGCGCAACGGGGAGTCATCTTGGCTAAAAGCGCGGTTACGCACGCTGCTGCTGCTGCTGCTGCTGCGTGTCTGTGGTTATGATGACTCGTTTCGTGAGATGCTTTTAACTCAGATGCTCCGGACATAAAGGACGTGCACTACAGCCTAGAAGTTACGTATGCGCGCGTGTTCACAAGTTTAAAGCTGCGTAATTGGTTGGTGGTAGTTTTATCGCTTCAAATGACCTCATATGGTTGCTTCCTATGTTTGCAGACTTAATTCAGAAGTTGACTGAACCTACGACTGCATTCACTTCACGCAGTCGTAGGTTATTCATTTCACTTGTGGATCAGTAGGTTTGTCTAAGTCTGAGCATCAAACAACCAATCAATCAAACAATCAATCATGCATCTGCAGTGTTGGGAAGGTTACTTTTAAAATGTATTCCCCTACAGATTACAGATTACATACCTCAAAATGTAGTTTGTAACGGAATCTATTAAGGTACATATTTTCACATAAATTGTTAGGCTTTTGATCGATGCAAGTTAATACACCTTTTCACTGCCTATTGTGAGGAAGGGGAAAAACTGAATGTGTTTGAATGCCATGAGAGGTGATTGGTTGAGAGGCAGAGGTAGCAGACTGTGATTGGCTGTCACAGTTCCTGCATATCACTCTGTATATTGCCTTAAGAGGTATTTAATATAGCCCAAAATGTAAAAACAGGAAAATACCGTCGTGTAATCCACTTATTTCAGCAAAGTAACTGTAATCCAATTACCACTCCCTGAAACAGTAACTGTAACTGAATACAGTTACTCATAATTTGTACTCTGATTACGTAACTCCGGTACATGTAATCTGTTACTCCCGAACACTGTGCATCTGACGGACTTGTTAATGCGCCAAAAAAGTTAATAAGTGACAGCGATATAACAAGTACATTTGTTTTGCCAATAAAGGCGTTTATGCACAATTATTGTAGCCGAGAGACTGAGTATTACGAAAATAAAGCCTAAGCGATTTAAACCTAGCCTATTTTTTAAAAAAATCAAACATCTATTTAAGTCAAATGTGTAAAGACGCGTCTTCACCAAAACTATCAAACCAGCTATAACGTTATTTGGGTGTGATGATATCATATAATGTGATCATCATATTACAAAGAAATCATGCAGAATCAAAAACCAAGGCTAAGGTGACCTATATGCAAATATCACTGTGTTTCCTCTTCAGTGAGGGGAACACATGTAATAACCACAGAAGGCTTTGATGAGAAGAGAGGAAATAAATGTCAGTTGGTCAATTCATTCTTTAGATGCAGGTTTCTATGCACTTTTTTCAACAAGTGGAAATCTTTGTCTAAAATAACAATAATAATCTAGGCCTATTTTTATTGTATTATTTTTATTGTGATATTAAAGACAGTACAAACAGTAAAAGATTAATATTTGACATTGTGTGTGTGTGTTTTCTCTTCCCCTACAAGCCTATTTCAGCATTTTATAACAATCAGTGAACAAAATATATCCTTCTTTATACTACATTTTAACGCTAAGGGGCGCTATGGAGACTCTGTAGACAATTTTCCTGTCACTAATTTAATATATATGTGATTACTCAGCATTTCAGTTGGCACCAAAAATATTCAGTATAGACTCTACAAAAGTCATACATCTTCAGAAGTGCAAATGGAATATGGGTAACTATATTTTTTAGTTCAAATCACCATTGTAGTTTTACTAAGTGTCTTTCTGTCCAAGGTATGGGACTAGAAAGGGCCTCTTTGAATCAGGCACTGAACAGCTCCGCTCTGAACAGTGAAGCAACGCCCCCTTCTGGTCATCTACAGCTTCACACACGGTGTGTCTTTGTCTTGCGCTGGTGGTGGTGCGACCTGTTCTTCGTGTGTACCCTGTTCTCCATGTGTGTGCCCTCTTCTTCATGTGTGTGCCCTGTTCTTCATGTGTGTGCCCTGTTCTTCATGTGTGTGCCCTGTTCTCCATGTGTGTGCCCTCTTCTTCATGTGTGTGCCCTCTTCTTCATGTGTGTGCCCTATTCTTCATGTGTGTGCCCTCTTCTTCATGTGTGTGCCCTGTTCTTCATGTGTGTGCCCTGTTCTTTGTGTGTGTGCCCTGTTCTTCGTGTGTGTGCCCTGTTCTTCATGTGTGTGCCCTGCTCTTCGTGTGTGTGCCCTGTTCTTGATATGTGTGCCCTGTTCTTGATGTGTGTGCCCTGCTCTTCATGTGTGTGCCCTGTTCTTCGTGTGTGTGCCCTGTTCTTCGTGTGTGTGCCCTGTTCTTTGTGTGTGTGCCCTGTTCTTGAAGTGTGTGCCCTGCTCTTCATGTGTGTGCCCTGTTCTTCGTGTGTGTGCCCTGTTCTTCGTGTGTGTGCCCTGTTCTTTGTGTGTGTGCCCTGTTCTTGATGTGTGTGCCCTGCTCTTCATGTGTGTGCCCTGTTCTTCGTGTGTGTGCCCTGTTCTTCGTGTGTGCCCCGCTTTTCATGTGTGCTTCAAGTTCTCCTCAAAGCGAACTCATGATGAAACTATTTTAACAAACAATGCAAAAACATATTGGTCCAGCCCTTCATTTGAAATGACCAATATCAATAAAAACAATAGGTCTACATTTTGTACATAAAACAGCATAAAGAAAGAAAAGGTAACTAACTAACTATAAGTCTAAACAAATACTATATTGGTCTTGCATTTCAAATTCGTGTCATCTGTTGTTGAAATACATACTAGTTTGTATAGTGCATATTTTTAGATGACTTCAAGTGGCCACAAGAGGGAACCATAATCGCGTTTTTGAGAGCCCCATGACTACAGGCCTGCCTAACATAGTGTAGTGTCATTTAAATGTCAATAGATCACAATATATAGGTCTATTGTAGTACTTCCGATGTGTGTGTATGAAGGAATGTACTGAATAGACCACTGGTTCATTGTGTGAGGAACTGCAGAAAAAAATGGCACTAATCAGTGAGGAGATTATGAGATTTAACTAAGAAAATTAATTTTTAAGCAATTTATATTGGACCCAAGGTTATTCTCGCTTGTTCTAAGCATAAAACATATACAAACATATACAAAGTGGGACAATTTTACTGGAGCCTACTCACTGCTAAAATATATCTATTTCACTTTATTGGAAAAAAGCACTTTAAGTGAAAGATGCCATGTGTATACTGAATGGCAAATGGGAAATGTTATGTTTTGTTTTTTCAATAAAAGTATTTAGGGAAATTATAAATAAGAAAATACACCAGGGTGCATGTTTTTTTAACCTTATTTATATATCTGTTATGGAGTGGATATTAATGGACATCTGTAACAGTTACAGTGTAAATATATAATAACAAAGATCTGAGTGTACATTGGTGTGTGTGTGTACATTGGTACAGAAATGAATGAAAAGGCCAGAATATGTTAATCATTGCTTAAAATACATCAAGGTAAAGCACACAATCTCAGCACTCAGATCTAATATCATGTAATATCTACATTTTTGGAGGTTTATTGAGGTAGGGAACAGTCTAATATGGCAGGAATCAACCTCCATCTCAGATCAAATGGTATATCATGTGAGTTGAGCCTTATTGGATCTGGTCTAATGTCTGGAGCAGTGGACAGTGAGATGTACATGTGGGGGTGTTTTGGGGGAGGGGGGTGATTGCCTGAGCAGAGTGTTCAGGGGTGACACAAATGGCTGAAAGGTCAAAGGTCGGGGCATAATTCTTAAATGCTCAAATGAATCAGAGGTGTCCAGGCAGCATGGTCCAGCAGCACCCATCATTCCTATAACAGAAAGCAAGGAGGGATAAGAATGTCAACTGCATTTTCTGGTCATATAAAATGTATTATAAACTCTTTTAAAATCCAAATTGTGTAGAAGATTACTGCAGTAAATGCAACTGGACTGTACAGCAACTTCAAAATCAGACAGGCTTATTGCCATTGTCAGGAAAAATCTATTCAAAAGGCTTTTTAGTTCTGTCATATAAAGTATGAATACAAGTGCACACCAATGCATCAATGTAGAAAAATCTGAAGCATGTTAGAAAATATGTATTTTAACAATCAATTAAAGTGGGTAAATTGGATTAAAGAGCCCATATTACTCTGTTTTCTGATCTATGATATAATGATGTTTCTTCATCACAAACATATCTGGAGTTGTGTTTTGTTTCATTCACACATGTTTAACACACAAATCTTGCATATTTAGGCTGAGTTCTTCTCTCAAGCAGAAAACACTCTGTTCCACCTTGTGATGTCATGTGGTAATACAGGAAGTGCTCCACTGTTTTTAAACTCCATACACTAGAATCATTTGGATGACTTCAGCCCTGGAATTGCCCGTCTCTACTAAACAAAAGATAGCAGTTAACTTGAAAGCTACCACTTCATGACATCACAAGGTGGAGCAAAACATTCTGAGCTTTGGAGATGTAGGCAGACTAATAATAAAGAGCTACTCAAACACATGTGAATGAAACAAAACACAATTTTAGGCAAGGCGATCTTATGTATTATAGGACCTTTAAGAATACCTCCTCTGGTAACATGCTATTAATAACTGCATTTATAGTGTAAAGATCCCTGAATAAGAAGTTTTTTTTTCTTTTCACCAACACTTTACTGATCGGTCATAGAAACATATCTTGTTTTATATAGGTCTAAATTAAATATAAATGAAATGTATACAGATATTCATACAAATAAATAAATTTTGACTTGGACAAACTTCATTGATCCACATGGGAAATTATTTGGACACAGTAGCGCACGCATCACAATATATTATTATAACAAAAAGTGAAAATATATAAATGGTAATAATAAATTCTAAATAAGTAGCAATAAAAAGAGCAAGAGACTGGTGTCAAATAAGGCACAATTATATAAATGTATATGTACAAGTAAAAATAAAATAGAAAATAACTTAAGTACTAAAAATATCTCAATTATATACAAGAGGTCATAAGGAAAACAGTGCAAAGATGATATGATGATATAATGATATTAAATGTGGTGTTGTGTGTATTATTGATCCTATCTGATAGAAGACATTAGAGGCTTCCTGTTTTGAAAGAGTTTCATCAGTTTCCTCAATGCTCATGCCTTGAGGACCACAATAGGAAATA